TACAAGATATATTCAAAGTAAATCGGCAATTGTTTTTCATGGAAGACTAAATAAAACTCAAAATTAATTAATTAAATCAACGCCGATAGATGGTAGGTTTTCTCAAATTTAGAAAACATTCAGCATGGGTATAAATATACCCTCGAAACGAGCCGATGCAAGCCACTTGCAATCAGGCGAATAAACCGTAACCATTCATCCTGGAGCCTACTCAAGGAGGAATACCGTGGAGGCTGATTCCAATCGATCTCTCACCGTCTCCTCCAAGAGAACGCGAGGTTAAGGTGCCTTGGATACTCCTCCCGCTGGACCTTCCACCGCCGGCAAGAGAGAGACCGCCGAGGAGCTGCCTTCCTCCTGGAGACCCGAGGATCGCCGGATATAACTCACCGAGGATCGCAGAACATCGGAGAGAGGAAGAAATCTCCATAGCTGAAGACGACAAATTCTGGGAGAGACTGCAGAATACCAAGGCGACGCAGACGGAGATAACCTTAGATCAAGAGGAAACCAGCCTACTCTTTGCTGACAGGATCTTGGGTCCAAGGAAACTAACCAAAACGTATCCGCCGATCTTTTGGAGAGAGAGACTCCTGTAAAAGAAAACAATTGGCCCTTTTCAGGGCCACCTAAACTCCACCCAAAATTAATACAAATATAAAATTTGTATGAATATTAAAATAAATATTTTTAAAATTTAAAAGCTGAGAAAAATTTAATTCTCCACAATAGTTATTATTTTTCATTTCTTCTTCTTTTAGATCAATCTGTCTCAGATTATCTGGAACGGATTAAATATTTGATTAAACTTGTGAATAATGTTCATGTCGACTTACATCACATACAAATAGATAGCATCCAACATAAAGCGGATTTTTATTAAAAAAAAAATATATATATGTATATGGGCCATTCTACGTGAAGCGGATCAGTCATCTCTCAGAAATTTTTCTAATTTTGCACAAAGGTAGTACTTTGAGAAATAGAATTTTGTGCCAAAGGATTTTTTTCTTATTGCAAAATTAATCGAGATATAAACAATTAAAAATTAGACTACTTTATTAGATCGGAAGAGCACACGTCTGAACTCCAGTCAC